TATATATATATATATATATAGCAAACGCAACACATTCGAAGCGACACAAAAGTAATACCATAAAGCAGCCTCGTTCTGTTCTAAAGGGATCGTCTGAAACACGGAGCCATCAGTCGGATTAATTATCTGAATTTGAGAAGCCCACATGTTCGGTCCGGCTCGAGGTGATCCAAACGCAGCTTCTGGAAAATTTTCATTCAGAAACGCGCTAGCCATTTCAGCAGCCAACTCCTTCTCGTCTTCGCCCGCCACTTCGATCATTTCCTGCAAAGATCGAAAGGATGAAGACAAATTTGGCGAGAGCTCATTAACAACCAATGGTGAAGCGTGGTCACTTACTTCAGCCAGTTGCTGCTTTCGCTTATTCTTCGTTTTCTCAGAGAATGCGTTGTGGTCAGTTTCGATCATAATGATGTGACCGGTTTCCGGGTGAATGATCGACCTCCTTGGAGTAAACGGTAAACTATAGGACACCTGATTAAAGATGGTGCCTAGTTTCTCGAGCGCCAAAATCCTGAACAAGAAGATTGAATGAGCACATCTTCAAACTAGTTCGCAAAACGATGGCTGCGGTAATGAGATTCGAAAACTTTTAGCGAACAATGGTTCAAGAAACTTTCAATAGTGAACCGCTCCTTATCCAGGTCATGAAAGCACAACCGCAATTGTCTGAACACGTGAAATCTGCACAAAACAGGACCTGCCACGCATAGTCTCGTGAGAAAGCCACAGAAAACACACCATGTAGATGAATCATAGAAATTCTGGCCCCGTCCTATCACTGTCTGAAAGTACAGGCTATCGAGCTCACATGTGAATCGGTACGTTTACGATGCAAAACCGAACCGTGAGTTCCATGTCGATAGAGGATATTTGGACGCCACTGATCGGTAGCCTGCAAGACCTCTGCATTTGTAACCCGCAGGGATATTTGACTGCCTTATCAACTGGTCTTGCTAGCGTGACAAAACAGCAAAAACAAACCCGAAACTAGGCATCGAAGCCGACTACCAACAAGCAATAAGGAGGTAATTATCTGCGAAAGACCGATAGGGATAGTAAGAGAGGAATAAAAATTCATCAGCCAATTTTCCTTCGCCAACGTCGACTTAAAAAATTCAATGTGAAATAGAGGAAGAAGCTTAATCGCAAAACACTGCTAGTGTGAAAGTTTCGATCAACCACGTAGCTGACGATCAAACGGAGGAACACTTTACCTTAAAGTGTTCGTTGATATGACGACGATACCTTCGGGACACTGCTCTGATGCGAAGCCGGACGCGTATTCGAGCATCTCGTAGCTCAAGGGAGTCAAATGAAACCGATTCTGATAGTAATATAACAACCAGGTTCGACTTGACATGGCCAAAATCTGAAAAGTTGAATAAGGAGTCAAAAAATAAATATCTGAGCATCGTTTAGAGAAGAAAGCATAAATACCGCGTTGCGACCCTGCATTGACACTTTGAATAATCGTACGGCTCGAGTACCGAGATAGCGAGTTCGGGTGTCAGTCAGATCCCCGGTGACGCGGTCGAGCACTGTTCGGAGTAGGACACCATTCTGCAAAGAACGAGCAATGTTGTTTTCAAACTGAATTAAGCATAACTATATAGCAAATAACGTCACCTCAAGGCCGATGTTCAGGAACAACGTCATCTGCATGTCCTCGCCACCCATATCCGCGATGCACAACGACTCGGGCGTAGCCGGCAAGGCTTGCATGCTCAAAGGCGCCAGACAGTCAGAAGGGTCGAGCGATATTATGCGGACCGTCCTATCGCCCAACCCTACAGCCAGGAAACGCGCCCTCAACTCTCCGCTCGCCACCTGTGCCAATGCCATGCATACGACATCGGCAGACATTTCTTTTCGCTCTGTGTATTCATTCAGTTGACCAGTCTACAAAGAACAAGAACGATCAGGACGAAAAACCATGATCGCTGAACAGCACACAGCAAAGTAGACTTCAATACATAAAGACAACTAAACGACAGTAACTAAGAAATGAACCTATTACCATTCAGCACATGTATCTTCCAGAAAACCAGGGATCAGCAAAAAACTGCTTATGGGTCAAGTGACGGAGGAACGGAAGACTAGACCTTCAGTCGAATCTTACTTGTCATTCTGTCAGCCTTTTACAAAACTGAAAGCAGTTTGACGTTATAATTTGAACGATGTATAACAGCGATTATAATCGGAAAGCTGCCATTTTTAGTAGACACCCGAAACTGCTTGGCTTGTGTTTTGCTTTATTCTATGTACATTTGCCAACGGAGAGTGACAATTTTGTTGGTGCTCGAACGTGTAATTGTTGCGCCCAACACAGTAACGAAGTGTGCGCGTCCTATGCGCTGCGAGCGCTTAAATGCATGGAAGCGAGGCCCGCTTAAATGGCCCCCTAGGCAACTAAGCAAAAGGGTTCAATTCTATGATGACTACACGGTGTGGTGACTAACATCCGCCTTACACGAAAGCAATATCGCCGTAAAGTAAGTAATTTTCCGGTATCATTAATATTTTTAATGTGATATATTCAGCGGCGTCTCTGAAAGCTCCCCCAGGACATCGAGGTTAAATTTTGTCACATTCTCGCCTACGGATCGTGGCAATCTTGTTACGTAGAATATACTTTTGTTCAACCCAAGTCTGAGAAGCGGTACTGCGTGTTACGCACTGCAGGTGCATAAATACGATGGAGTTGTGGCCAGTTTAAATGGACTCCTAGGCGTTTGTAAGCAAGAGGGTGGTGAAATAATGGTGCTGGTGTAAAGTGAGAAATATATTTTTCTTGCACTGCATTTTTGCCGTTTCAATCCGGTATAATTTTTACTTTCAAAGCAACTAAAATTACATTACAATTTTTGCTCGGTAAATCTGATGGTAGCTGCGAGATAATGTGGAACAGTATCGACGCGAGCATCATATGTCTAAGTTTGCCATAAAAGAACTGCAGTAACGGGCGCAGTGTCCATGAAAAACGGGCACTACTTCAATGTGGCTCAAAAGGCGGTCGCTTGATTTTCAGTCGGTAGCTTAGAGCAGCAGAGCCATCATAAAATTTAGAAACACAACAGCAGTCATGTATTCATCATTCATTATACATGCGTGCACGTGACTTAATTATTTCATTCTGCAGTATTTTACTGTAGATAACAAACTCAGTTGCGGTTCTACCTGTGTTTACTGGACAGCTGCTAGCATTCGCAGCTCTGCTCTCACAAGTGAGTAATTTATATTTTACTGATAAAACTGCAAATACTCACAGGTCGACGAGTGATGGATAAACGCTTTGTTGGCATATAGCAACACGGCTGCCAGGCGTTCATGGAGTATCTAAGAGTTCCGCGAAAGAAATTCGAGAAAGAAGAATCTGTTTCTTAACTGCCTTACGTGTAGTCCTTAAAAATGCGAAACAGTTTAACGAACATGTACTACTGCTAGAATCACCGGCTCCTCTGACCTTACAGCGATCATCGTTGAAAGGTAAAGAACAAATTTTGTGCACAGAAATTTTTAGTAGAGTCTTCACAACAACCACCTGGTTTACCATCGATCGCTCTGGAACCATGAAGAACACCAGGAGACTATTAAACTTCACACAGAAATTCGAAGCTAAAGAAATGATTTGTTCACAACTTATTATCATGAGAAACGCTAAATTTATTACAGCGATGAAGCAGATGGAGGGTTCTGAAAACAAACGGATTGATTAGCACAGAGTAACTTGAAAAGATGAAAGAAACTTGAACAACTTGAAGATGAGCGGAGAAATTGCTGGGATCGAAGAGGGTAACTAAAGAGCCCTGTGACAGTGCAAGATGGCACAGCACAAAGTAAGCGACCTGTGCAAAAAGCGGAAGTCTAACGAGATGTTCGCTTCAAATAAATGGAATTCACCTACGAAACAGCAGCTGCCAAAAATGCCCTTCACAAGCATAATTACCACAAATTCGAATTTGTGTTTGCAAACAATTGAACACTAGAAAAATCTTATTTTTTTACCACATTATCTGCCCGTCGTACAATAGGTTCGCTATAACAGCTGTACCACTCTCATAACGCTTATTTGCTAATCGATTCGTACAAGCTTCACTTTCTTTCACCTGTGTGAAGAAAGTGTTTACTGAGTTGTGAAGTAATAAACTTCAAACATTCATGCTTGTAAACAGCATCACATAGGTTCTAACTGTCAAAATTTATTTACATGACCGTCACTTAAGATGTTTACGACACACATGCAATTCCGCCAATTGGATATAAATCTATGAGAAATTTCATTCGTTTAATGCCCAGATAATCAACAGCGTAACAAAGACGCTAACCTATCCGACTATGGCTTGCCATTTGAGTAACTGAAAGCATGTCATTGATCACTACCTCACAAACCCACCTGAAGGGAAAAACATGAGCCCATGCGGCTTAATAATAAAGGGACAGTGAAAATGATGAACAATATGATGAAACGTTGCTCACCGCATCCATTTCGAAGTAGACCAACTCGCCACCAGTTAACGCGATGACCACCTGCCGCTGATTCACCGCACACTTCTGAATGATCTTCCTCACGGGTGACTTCCATTCGTTAACACGGCGGTCACTTCGGATATGCCGGATTCCATCAGGGTAAATCTGAAGTAGAAACATCAAGTCACTTTAGTACAAAGAATGGTGTAGTCGGCTGCCAGATGAAAAACGTTGCCATGGGGAAAGAAAGGCAATTTCGCGCAATTAAAATGTTTTGCGTCGGCGATGTCAGTACGATATCGAAACGAGTTGGAAACAAAGGTTGTTTTACCACTTCATCTCTGGAAATTGACACCGATACTGGATTTACTCATGTCAAGTGTAAGTCTCGATAAAAAGGCAAAAGTACCCAAAAATGAGTCAACCTTTTTCGCACGATGCCACAACATAAGTTTGAGGTTAAAGAAACAACTGGAACTAGTACACTTTACCCAGGATGTAGTAAAACTCAAATTCTAAGCGATGTTTAAGTGAGCACTTAAGCTTTTCAAGTAGAAAACAACATGAATACAACCCTACCTACGTATAAAAGCATACTTGTCGAATCTGAGCTATTTATGAGAAGTACGGTCAAGTGTTAATCGCAAATACGACCGTTATGTCACAGAAGGTCTTAAAGCAATGCCAGCCAGAGCAATATCTTTCTTAAGCTACTTTGCTTAGTCGCCAGAAATTTTTGGAGCCACCTGATGATACGTACACAACATAAACCAGCAACTCGCTAAGTGAGCCACTGCAACTGCGAAAAAGCATGTGAAAATTACGCCATCGTTGTAGCCTTTGCGCAACGCACAGCCTACCATATTCTTTTGTTTGCTGATAACAAACATGATGCTAAAATAACTGAGACACTCCATGAAATAACTGAGAACTCAATGTTACAGCGTGCAAACAGATAGATGGCGAGGCTTCCATGCCATCTGAAATTGATCATGAAAGGAAAACACGGACGGTAACGTAACATTCAGTTCTTGGTTTAAATATGACAGGTTAGAACGCTGGCCGATCGCTAGCCGAATGCTCTTATGAAGTAGACACACGACTACCACGAAATGAGTAGGATGCAGAAAGTTAAAGCAACAGTGGCCAACTAGCTGCCGACTCTGGCTAACAAGATAAGACAACCAAAATTAATGGCTTCGAAAAGGAGAGTAGTACCGTACCATTAATTCCATATAGGAAGGGCACTATAAACGGCGCAAAATATGGGATCAAGACAGATATTGACGGCTCTAACATCTCAAAGGCTAAATTCGTGAATTTCATTTCTATCGCGTACTTATGGCGTGACACTGATCACTGTGTGGACACAATCGACGAAAGGTGTAACGTATTAAAACAGCATCCACTACTATGTAGCAAGCCCAGCGAGTATAGTTCTGTTTCTCCGTACATAAAATTAGTCGTCAGGCTACTGAGGAAAATGGCAGCGCGTATGAATCGACCAGATATAGAACAAATACTACACGCTCTGCTTTTCTTGTGTTATCCAAATTTATCTTAAAAAACGAAAAAATGCACAAGGGAGAGGGGGAGCAGTGGGAAAGCTAATGCACACTACAACAGTCACCTGCAGAAGCGCATCGTCGCCAAGCAATGAGCAGGAGATGGTTGGCGTGGTTCCGAGAAAGCCTGAATCCGTCACCTCCTCAACGGTTTCGCCAATGGAGAGCACCAACGTTGCGTTGACGAAACTGACGACTATATATGAGTCATACTCGTCGTCGATATGCTTTTTTACCGTCCAGACAGCGTTAGGATTGCCAGGGAGTTCAGAGACGGCCATTTCGGACACCTAATGCGAAAACTCATTAATCGATAGCATCACTCAGCCGATCGCGTTCCTACCTCCAAGCCGTGCCTGAGCACTTTCAGAGAAGACTTCGGACCTCTGCCGCAGGCGACATACAACTGAGGCGTGTCTTCGTTGGCCAGATCGGCAATCTACAACACACTCTAGAGCTGCGCAACACCCAGACAAATAGCGACAAAGCTCCATACCTGGCAGCTCATGATCGGCGATAACGACTCCAACTCGTCCACTAGCACAAGGTTTTGCAGCGGTCGCGGCGCAAAGAAAAATGTATCGCCCTCTTCGAGGGGAATTTTCGACGAAAACTCTGGCTCGTCGTCGTCGTCGCCTAACTTAGCGATCTGATAGAGGTAGCTGAAAGGCGAATAATGTATCAAAATCATCGTCAGGCGGTGATAGCGAATCTTTTACTGGTTTCCGAATTCGGCCGCGACGAACAGAAAACCCGTCTTGAGGACGCAGATCGAATTCGCTACCGAAATCGTGTCGAAATATTTGATCTTGATCTCAGTAACCTAAATGAATGCAGACACCATGAATATGATAAATCTGATAGACATTCATGTCATAAATCACCAGGTCTTCCATAGTTTCCAGCGTCACTTTAAACACGTCGCCTTGTTCAGTTTGGAGAAGGAAAAAGAACATGCTCTGAAATACACACACAAACATTTGTTACGATGCTATCGACTGATCTGAACCAAAACCTCACCTTTGTTTTGTGAGTGGCACTGCAGACAATCAGTATTCCGCGGTCGGCATCATCAAGATCGTTCTAAAACAATGCAATTCGATTAGCAGTCTAAAAAGTATGCACAGCCAATAACAAAAAATGTCATGCAAAGGAAGAGGCCTAGTAGTCATCATGTCAGAGAGAGTAACGGCCCCTGGTACACTTTCATGATGAGGGCCAATTATGGCAACGTCTTGCAATGGACCCTATGGAGCGACGTTGATCTCTTTTAGAATGATATCAGACACTCAGAGATTTAAGTTTAAAGACATCGCTTGCAGCTAGACGGCAACTATAACGTATAGTGTAGCGCTTCCTATCGATAAAGTGGGATTAATCGTCATGAATAAAATACAGAAAACACAAGCACTGAAGCATCGTTAGAAAGGTTTATTCCGACGATTAAACGGATCGTAATACGGGGGCGTAATACGGATCAAAAAGTTGTCATGGCGTTAAAGACAACCGCAGCGAACGAAAAGATACCGGACGAAGGTTGAAACAGATAAGAAGAAAAAACAATGGCCTAAAGCCTTCAAAATAACAGGCTACAAGCAAAACGACGATTTATGGCCAAGATCTTCATTCAAAAGTCAACGTAACGTTCAAGATAACAACTGTCATGTCCACTGTCAGGCCATACAGTGAGCGGAAACAAAAACTAGCCAATATGACATTATCCCGTGTGAAGGAAATTACGTTTAATCAAGTTTCAAGAATGTCCTGATTAAAATAAAAATATATAACT